CTGTGTTAACCATCTCTATGTATCTCTTGTTCTTTAACTTTATAGCAGTTTAAACACCTCAGAAGCAGCAATGATAATTTTCACATCCCCCTTTCATGTAGTCCCCCCATTTCATCATGCATAGAATTCACTAAGTTTTGCAGTGGTTCATTAATCCTCAGTCCTGTGGTATTATTTTTTTCATTCCCAATGTAAAAATGTGTAGTTCTGTATTTCTAAATAAAGCCTTCCTTAGCTATTCTGAATGCCCTTTCCCTGAGGTGTATAATTGGATTCTTCAGTCACATATCTCAAAATATGCATGACCAACTAAGTTGGAAAAACTGTAACATTGCTAAGTTTAAATGTAACCATCTTACGCATTCAAATGAAATACACAAGAGATGTTTTATCTTACTTTGCCAGAAAGCCACTTTAGTGCTTTAGACAAATTACTCAGGGAACATTTTCTGCTCCAGCATATCCCAGAACTGAAGAAAAATAAAAGGCACAACTTTGATTGCTATCACTGGCAATTTAATTCTTTTTTATGGGCCATTATAGATTTTCTTAATGTAGGTGATTTAATTTCACAAAGAAAGTCCATTTTATCTCATTGTCGTATACACCTTACCCATCATGTTTCTCAGCTGTGAAATGATCAGATGGCAAGAATAGAACCTCACGTGCATGAATCCCTGAATTATAGTGAATTATGATTTACACTTCTTCAAGGTATCATTGCAGTGTTATGAGCAGATACTTTGAAATTAGATTGCTCAGATTCTCATTTTAGCTCTACCACTGGGCGGCCTTGGATAATTTGTACAACTACCTGTGCCTCAATTTCTTCATCAGTAAAATCAAAAGATGTTATAGGGCCATGCTGATGATTACATGAGCAATATGGATAAAATTGTGAGAACACAGACTAGGGAAATATTAGCTATTATCATTTCCAATGACCTATTCACATTAAAAAATATACTTATTGTATTAGTCAGGGTTCTTTAGAGTAACAAAACTAATAGAATGAATCTTTCTAGAAAGAGGATTTAGGAAAGGAACAAAGCTACACAGTAAAACCCTGTCTCGAAAAACCAAAAAAAAAAAAAAAAAAAAAGAAAAGAAAAAAAGAAAGGGAATTTATTAGAAGGGCTTAAAGGCTGTGGCCCAACTAGTCCAACAATGACTGCCTAAGAATGGAAGGTCCAAGTGTCCAGTAGTTGTTCAGTCCATGAGGCTGTATGTCTCAGCTGGTCTTCAGTATATGCCAGAATCCCAAAGGAGTAGGCTCTAATGCCATTGAAGGAATGGACTTGCTAGTGTGGCAAAAGAAAGCAGGCAAAAAGCAAAAGCTTCCTTCTTCCTTGTCCTTATCTACTCTTCCAGCAGATGTGACCCAGATTAGAGGTGGGTTTTCTCAGCTCAAAGAATCTGAATTAAAAGTGTGTCTCCCTATCTTAAAGATCTGGATTAGAAGTAGATCTTCCCACTTCAAATTAAGTAAATATCCCAGACATAGGTGCCCCTATGTTTGGGGGCTGTAATTAATTCCAGAAGCAATGAAGTTGACAACCAAGAATAGCCAGCACACTTATGAAACATTTACTGTGTTTCTACTCTTAAGCTATGGACTCAGGAATGTGACTGCATTCAAGACAGACACCAAGAAGTTGATTTCTAAATAAGTGATTCAAATTAACTTTGCACGAAGGTGGAGTATCTTAACCACCAACTGTCACCAACTACCATTTTGTTCCATTACCTCTTGCCTCCAGACCTGTTCCTTCATTTTAGTCTCAGTGCAGCAGTCAGAAGAACTGCACGAGAGATGAGTCAGATCAAACCTCATCTTTGTGCACAGCACGGCAGTGCCTTCCTTGAAACTCAGAGTGAGAACTGGTTTCCTAGTTGGGTAAAGACACCTGCATGGTCAGCCCTTTGCTCTCTGGGTTTGTATAGAGTTCTCTGTATCTTCCTTACTCTATTTCAGCAACATTGGTTTCCCTGTGACATTTCAACCCACCAGCCTTAGTACAGCTATTTTTGTTAATTCCTGAGAACCTTGTCTTCCAGATATCATATGAATAATTTTACAATCACCTTGAAATTTTGAAAAAAAAAGTTTTAATGAAGCCCATCATAACCATTCCCCATATAATGTACATCTGTTCCTCTTTTCTCCTTGCCTCTAATGCCACTATACAATATTGTATTTGTACTTACTCCCCTCCCCAGTCACTCTTCAAGAAGAATGGAGGTGCTACAAGGACAGGGTATTTTTGTTTATGGATGTACCCTAAAAGTTCAAGACAAAAAGGCCATGAATTTGAGAGGGAGCAAGTTTAGGAGGTCGTAGAAGGAGTTGGAGAGGGAAAAAAGGGAATCAAGGAAATTATGTAATTATTTTTAATTTAAAAATAAGAGAAAAATTTTAAAATGTTATTGGTAAAATATCAGAGGTCTAAGAAAAGACCAAGTATGGGAGGAAGAACAAGTCAAGGCAAGGGAGGCATCATTGCAGAACTAAGTAACCAGAGTACCAGGAGATTGCTTGCTAAGTGATGTTTACTTTGTATGTGTTTATGATCTGCATCCTCAGTAAGATAATAAACACTTTTAAGAAGAGGCATTTGATAAATATTTGTTGAAATCAATTAAATTTTCAATAAATACACTAAATTAGAGCATTTAAATACAATATTTTTTTTCAAATACAATAAGAGCAGAAAGGATAAAGAGAAGAAGGAAATTTTAAACACTTATTACAAAGCATTAGCCTAGACATGTTTTCAAGCTTATCTTTTTTGTTGTTTGTTTGTCTTGTTTTGTTTGATTATAGTCAATGAGTAGTGACCCTTTTAGAGGTGATTTACTTCTTTTAAAATAGCCAGGAGTTAATATGGTAACAAATTCTTTAGAAAGAAAAACAGTATTCCAAAGGAAGAAGAGATACATCTAAATGAGGTAAGTGACTTGAGTCATAAGTGGATGGCAGTGATTAAACACTGTATAGTGGAAGGAGGCCCATTCATGGGAATCGCTTTGAAATCTGATAATCATTGTACCACATTGAGAATAGTGCTGAACCAAACTCAGTAGATTTTAAAAATCTAAATAAAGTTTAGTTTTCTGTATATAAAACTCAATTACAGGATTCCACCATGTAAAATTCTCAACTTAGAGTTGTAAAGCTAAACAGTTCAATATCTCTACATTCAAATTAGAGCCCATGAAGACGTACCATCATGAAGTTGTAGCAGAAACAATTCCATGCTTAAGGCCTTGTAGAGCTAATATATAGACCTATCTTACACATATTGCATTGTGAGATTTTACTGACAGTAGCTCAACTTCTCTAGTTCTCAACATTCATCTACCTATAAGTGTAAGAATGATAATTTGATGGTATTATTCAAAATGGTTATACAGCAACTATAGCAATTGGTATCAAGGTCAGCTAGTGATGCTAAGTCATTATGCATAATGCGCACCAGACAGAAGACTGCTTCTGCTCTATCTTTAGTCCTTTTAACAGGCTTACGAAGCTTGTAACAAGACATAGGTAGCGGCATTATTTTTATCTAACAGATAAAAAAATTGGAGCTTAAATAAATTTTTTTGAACTGTTCCTTTTACATCTCCTTTCCCCAAAGACACACATTATGTGTTCATAGTGTCTACCCGTAGCTCTTTCAGAGCAGATTCTCAGTACATCCATTGTTTTCTCAAAGATTAAACAAATAAACAAGAAAACAACTAAAGAAAGTTTCTAAGGGAACTTAACCAGAATCTAATGCACAGAATGTTCTATTTTTTCCTCAATTCTGTCAGTGTGTAGTCACTCCATGCTTGCCACTATTTCAGCTTTTAATCTATGTCTCAGCTTGACAAATGTAAAAGCCACTCTACACAAGACATCCAACCAGTAGAAAGTAATTGAAAACACTGAAAACAATCATTTTGGAAAAAAAAAATCTTGGTATGGCTTTAATTATGGAAAATAAGACAAGAGAAATATAGGATCAAGAGAAAATAGTGGAAAAGCTATTTGTATAAATGTGAAAAAGCATTTTATAGATTCAAGTCTTTTTCTTAATATTGAAGAACTTCCTTCTTCCATCTGTTGAGTAAATAGAAGCAGAATAAAGTGAGGGCATATTTTCTCATTTTGAATTTCTCTCAATAATTTTCCAGTGATTAGTCCTAAAAATACCTTTAAATTGATCTGGTCTCCACTTCTCATTTTAAGTGAGAACTCTGGGTTAGAGAACTACAGTGTTCTTTCAATGATCACACAGCCAGGAAGCAAAAGAGCAGAGCTACAGTCCCTTCCTTTTCTTCCCTATCCTGCAACAACTCCCCAGGAAGTGAAAACTTACCGTTCTTAGATTCTCTGCACACCTGTAACTTGCCAGAACAGGAGAAGGTGTGAATGGCAGTGTCTCATTTCCAAAGAGACAAATAAGGCCATCCTTTATTCCAGACAGAAGAAAACAAAAGACAGAGAAATTTAATACAGTTTTCCAAATACTCCCAGGAGTGCCTGCTGACTCTGACAAGCTTAAAAGGTGTTCAAGTTTAGACAGAAAAGTCAGGGCCTGCTATTTCACAATTTACCCAGAAGTGAATTCTCCCAGTGTTGTTACCACAGAAGAATGAGATAGCCTAGACCAAAAGGTTAACTGGCTACTATTTAAATATCATCCAAATAGAATCAAACAGCTTTTTTTTTTTCTTTTACTTTTATGCTGGGAATCTTGGAGGGAAAAAAAACTGCAAGATTTCTTCTTGTCAAGTAACCACATAATGACATTGGGTGTTTCCTCCTCCATTCTGGCCTTCTTGAAGGAATGACTTCAGCAGAGAAGCAAGACCCTTTAAGCAGAAGTCATTTAACAAATCAAAATACACATCTGTTGGCTTGGGCTATCCCTAAAAAGGGTATCAACACAGTAGGTTCTTTGTTATAAATTTTAAATATGTTTTCATGAAAATTTATGATGTAGGTAACATACCTTTGGAAAAGTGACCTGCTTTATTCCCAATAATGATGAACCAGATATCTTTCTTTTTTTAATTATGGTCCTCTAGAAAAAAATCTATAAGGTGGAGAGAGAATCAAAACCACAATGTATCAACCCTTCGTTTTTATGCACATGTGGGAATGGTACTGGCACCTTAGTCTTTGCTATAAGGAGAACAATTTATCTCCAGCTTCAAGTATGTTTAACAACAAAGGGCAATTTAACCATCAGGAGTCACAGGCAGTCATTGCACCTGACATCCACGCAGGTGTGGACTGTGTTGGAAGTCATCCTTCAAATGGCACCATCACAGCTTTGGATGGGGACCACAGTACACTCTTACCTATCATATTATTGAATTGTGACCTTCTCCTAAGAGAATAAGGTGCATCTCATTACTGGGGTGCTTCTGAGCTGGGCTTATTTTGCCATCAATCAAAATGTCCTGATATGATTAAAAAAGCCGGAATCTTTCCAATTTCAACCACTTCTAAAGTTTTCTATAACAGCAAACACTAGCATATTAAATTCTTAACTAAAATAACAAATTGTGGGTGGCAGTGAAAGTAATTATTTTTTATCTTCCAGATGATTTATTTAAAATGAATGAATTTAATATGGTGTTTGTGAATCAAAGTAACTTATCTCCCACATCAGGATCCAGAACAACTCCAGGTCTGCACTTTTGCTAGGCATCCTAGATTGGAGAGTTGTCATCTTCTGTATGTATTCAGGCATGTCTAAGCTAACACAAACACCTTTGTAGAGGTGCCTATGTAGAAAACACTTACTACTTCCACCTTCCCATTTTGTAGTATCAAGCCTTCTTCTATCATCCCAAGCACCCTTCTTTGACAATATATTCAAGGGTAATTAAAGTGTACTGTTCGCTGTTTGGCTTTAGAATATAAAATGTGGAATTTTAAGTGTAGTTTTTCCCGGTAAGAAAAAAATATACTTGTATTAATGTTTCTCCCTAAATGATTGCCAGAAGATACATGTGATGGCACCATCCTGTTATTCTAACACTAAGGAATTGGAAGCAAGAGGAACAGGAGTTCACATTCATCTTTATCTATATATTCAGTGCCAGACCAGCTGGAGCTATATCAAATCCCTCAATATATAAATAAAACAAAAAGTAGTTATCAGAGACAATTGGCCTCAGAAATCTAGATGTGACAATTGAAGCCTGACAGATGGTCCCCCGAGAGAACAAGAGTAAGAAGGGAAAAACCTCAGGCCTGTGAGCTAACTTTTCCCAGTGAAAGCCATGAAATGGGAAGCAGAATTTTTACTGTGAGAGGATAGTTAGAGATCAGCCTATATACAGCGGAGTTAAGTAATTTTCTTTGACCCTTACATTCTTAAAGCCCAATCTATATGTTAGTCACAAAAAAATTCTATGGTGGTGGTCTCCCTAGGAAGGTTGTTGTTCTTCATACTGTCTGTCTTGAGATGGGTAGAAATGTAAGCTAAGAAAGCAATCACTACCTGGTGGTTTACTGATATTCTGTTATTGCTGATGATTACTCATATTTCCTAAGAACTCCTTTGTACACTATTCTTGGTCACTTACGATAACTTGAGAATTTTTTCAACTCTAGAGCAAATAAAGCATTGCCTTAACTAATAACTTGTCTTTCATGAATATAAAATACCGCCCTGAAGAAAAATACATTTGAATTCTGAATTCTTCATCGTAAAAATAATGACATTGGAGTTAATTCCATTGTTACTAAGCAACAATCATAACATAAACAAATATTTCATGAGAAATAAGATAATGTAGTTGACATCAAGCCTAAGCAATTTCTGCAATAGACTTTTTTTAAACAGAGCTTTCTACACATCACATAAAGAAAACTTGTTTAGTAGCGGCAGCAGAGAACTCACACAGGTGACTGATATTTTCCATGTTTGTTTTGGCTACAATATCAGAGTTGAAATAAGAGGAAGACAATAACTAAAGAGTACCACCATTTCAACTTGAAAGTATTATCTATTTATCTGACCATGAAAAATGACTGGTAATGGCAAAATTAGATCCATCATGATTCATAATTAAGCCTGGCAGTGGTGGCACACTCCTTTAATCCCAGCACTTGGGAGGCAAAGGCAGGCAGATCTCTGAGCTCAGGCTCAGACTGGTCTACAAAGTGAGTTCCAGAACAGCCAGGACTGTTATGCAGAGAAACCCTGTCTTCAAAAACAAAACAAAACAAGACAGAAAAACATAAAAAGAAAGATTCATTTATTCATAATTGGTTAGGGATTTAGCTCAGTGGTAGAGCGCTTGCCTAGCAAGCACAAGGCCCTGGGTTCGGTCCTCAGCTCCGACAAAAAAAAAAAAAAAAAAAAAACTCCATGATCCTAAAATTTTCTTTGCATCCCCATAAGATACAGCGCCCCCCTCCAGCAGGAAGTAGTTAAGAGAAGCTACGCCCAAATTCCCAAATATACCAAGCTGGCTTTGGAGAGGTGTAAAAGTTAAAACCTTCCTTTTTAAAAAAAAAGAAAAGGGGAGGTGCTGTGGGATGTTCTGTATGTCCTGTGGGAGCCCTTCTTGGGTTCTTTGTGGCGTTACCCAGCAGGTCCGTATAGAGGATGATTAGGACCATGGGCCTGAGTGCAGGTGTTTGAGATGGTCTGCACTTGGCTGTGCTGGGGGATGGTCTGTATGTCAAGTTGCTCTGATTGGTTAATAAATAAAACCTGATCGGCCGTGGCTAGGCAGGAAAGATAGGCGAGACTAACAGAGAGGAGATATAAAAGGACAGAAAGGCAGAAGGAGACGCTGCAGCCCCCGCCATGACCAGAGAGGCTGCAGCCCCCGCCATGACCAGCAGCATGTGAAGACGCCAGTAAGCCACTAGCCACATGGCAAGGTATAGATGTATGGAAATGGACTAATTTAAGATAAAAGGAAATGGTTAATTTAAGATAAGGACAGTTGGCAGGAGGCCTGCCACGGCCATGCGGTTTGAAAGCAATATAAGTGTCTGTGTTTACTTGGTTGGGTCTGAGCGGCTGTGGGACTGGCGGGTGACAGAGATTTGTCCAGACTGTGGGCGAGGCGGAAAAATCAAGCTACAATGAACAATAGAAATGTTCATATTTCTAGCAACTATCAATTCACAACAAAGTGTATCTCACTCATGTTTGTTATTATTCCTTGAAATCTAATGACAGATTCATGGAGTAGATGTTGGAGAAAGTAAAACATCTATTTGGAATGCTATCAAACCAAAGAAGGTAGAGGTTATTTTTAAAAAGACCATCCTGTTTAGGAGTTGAATGAGAAAGCCTAAAAAACATGGAGACTGGGGGTGGGGTGTCTAGATGAGACCCACAGCTGCCAGGGCAGTTAGAAATTTGGGGTTGCCTATGTTTATGGGATTGAGGGTAGCTCTTGACTATCAGAGGTCTTAATTCCTAAATAGCTAAAGAAGACTCATTGAGTAGGAAGGTCCTTTTCCTTGGACTAATTAACTTTGTGATTATTGATTAATAATCAATGAACCTCTTTTTTACAGGGGATATAGCTCAGAGTATTTGTTAATCATACAGATAACACTGACTCCACTGCCAGTGCTCAAAGGCTTCATCTTTCACAAGAAAGCAAAAATGAAAGTGAAACATGGATTCACCAGGAGCAGGGGAGACAAGATGTCTTACAGATTCAGTCCAAGGTGTCATCTACAGCAAAGATAATGGGGGCCTAAGAATACATTGCTTATCATGTGACTCATGAAGTTAGTGGCTTTTAAAATCAACTAAAATAGCTGAAATTAGAATGTTTATTTAGATTTTTCATCATCTATAGGAATTTTCTACAAGCATACTTTTTAATCTCTAACTTGGACTTCCCCCCAAATTGTTTAATTGGCAAACCAGCAAGCCAAAGTGGTTATCTCATCTACTCACTGACAGAAACTGAGAGCAACAATTCATAACAGTCAGAAGCTGGCCCTATATGATAACTAGAGACACATAGAAGATTGCAAAATGTTTTATCTAACATTACCTGAAGAACAGGTGGGGCTATTACTTACCAGAACAAGGTGCACACGGGACAGGAAAGCTTGAACACAGAATTTCACAAAAGATGTTTTTGCTATATATGGTAAGTTCATAAAAGTAAGTGGGAGTAAAATTCCCTTCTTTGTATACTTTATTCAGTACTGAGCACTAATTCCCAGGAAGCAGTATGCAAATGGAAATGGCCAGTGAAGTAGGGAAACTCAAGGGATTTCATATGATGAGTACTGGAAGGAATAAGAATGCTAATTATGATGCAGCTCATGGGATGTGACTTTTTCAGTTCATTCTATTGTCAGAGAGAAGAAGGCATCATGGTGAATACCACCTCAGTTTAAGGCAGATTTTTTAAACATTTGATATGTACAATTGAGGTGATATAAGGAGGTAAAAAATGGAATAAAAATGAAGACAATTATGGCACTGGTGTATTCCATCAAATAGTTTGTAGATTTAGTCCTGGGGTTTTATACTACCTTTGTGGGACACCACCCAGGTTCATGGCATACATTTGGAGATGGAAAAGGATAAAAAATTTAAATTGGATAGATGTCTGGGCTCTATCATCCACTTGTATTTGTTTGGTATTGGGTGCTTTATGATTTTTTTTTCTTCAGGTTAAAATATCTGGACCAATAATTAATCATTTATGAAAGATGTCTACTAAAGAGATTTCCTCTTAAGATTATTTTAGGAAAGAACATTCCTCAGTTTGTATATATACTCATCTACTTGATTCATACATATGTAATATGCATGTATTTTAAGAATTCTCTTTGCTGAATGATTAAATTAGAACTTTTTGTTGATTTGTCTCATATGTAAAATATTTGTCATTCTGATTCTCCTAATTTAAAACACTAGCAAAAGTCTTCCAATATTTACGTGAACATTATGCATATGATAAGGTAAATATATTAAATGTCCAGTTATCCCTTCAGACTCACAGAGAACTTCATCTCTACTGCCATTAGTCTAGCTCCAAGTTAGCTGATGTCAAGCCCACCTCAGCTCACACAAGTGAGCCCAAAGCTCAGGATAATTTCCAATATGAAATTTTAACATTTACAAAGTATTTTTACATTTCCAAACAAAATACTCGATTTAATTAAATACTTTATAATAGTATATATGTAATTCAATAGCAATGATTATTATACTATAAGCATTATTAAAACAGAATCAGAGGAAGGGGCTATCAGTACCAAGTACACATCTTCTCTACAAATGCACCCTAAATGTGTCAGACATGGTTCTAAGCACAAGGGCCACAAGCGTTCACTTTAACCTTACTGAGCTAAAGTGAGAATATTTGGACAATGAGTGAATTAATATGTGTCAAGCAGAGATCAATGCTATTGAGAAAGATAAAGTGGGGTCATTGGAAAGAGCATAGTGAAGCTGTTAGGAAAATGCATCACCTTGTGCATAAAAAGCAAAGTTTAGAAAAATAGGTGACCTGTTTCCACAGTGCCCAGTGTTTGAAAAGGTTGCTGAACCAGAGCCAACTGCCTGTGTTTGCTCTTCTCTTCTCTTAGTATAGATCTTTTCTTCTTTAGTTTGCATGGATTCATTTTGACTCCATCAAGATGATATGTTCTCTGCAGGGTTGTGTTACTTACCACTTTAGCCCACTTAAAACTCTTCTGCTAAAAATAGAATTCTGAAACAGTTTCACTTCTCTTTTTTCTGTGTTCATGTGTACCCAAAAGCGTAGTTGGCTTCACACTTCTTTTTCACTTTATGTACATTTTTTTTCATTTACAGGTATTCATTTCTATCTTCTCACTTTTTAAGCATGTTCAATGGGTCACTGCTATATGATTGCTTTTATCTTTTCTCTGTATAAAATCGTGGTGATGATCAGATAAAGACATATCTGTGCCTAACAGAGCAATGAACAGATAAAACCTACAAGTGCCTCCTCTGCATTGCCTGAAGGGAACATTTATTGAATTTTTAAGTGATGAATTAAAGAAATTTTCTGTTTTCCTTTGATAAATGAATTAATATAGATTTTTCAATCAATGTTAACAAACAGTTGCTATACTGATTAATAAATTGTATAAAAATTATTGTGCATTTAGAAAGAATATAAACATTAAGCCAAACTAAGCAAGTGAATTATGTAAACTATAAATAAAATCATGGCAAGATCCCTCCTACATGTGGAATAGACACCAAGTTTATGCACAAATGCATGTTTTTAAATGAGACTAATTTCAGTCTCCCTTCACTCACTCTCCTTTTCTCTATCTCCCCACTTCTCATTCATGCATGACCCTACTCTTCCCCTGCTTTTCATTGTCTCCACCCAGCAAGCGTAAATTATGCAGATTATTAAGTATCCAGAGAAGAGACAAAGTCATAGCTTTTCTTAGGATTTGTCAGGCTCACCCTTCTTTTTCTAAGCATGGTTCTGGAATGTTTCCCACTAAATTGATGATCACACTTGGTTATGATGCTTTTGAAGTTTCACACTAAATGCTTTTCATTCTTGTTAACCTTTTAGTAAGGTTATTATTACTGATATGTGAATATTACACAATTTTATATGCATTCCTGTCTTCCCATGAATATTCTTTTGAGGGCTGAGCATGCCAAATTACATCTATTTGGTCCACTATAAACAATATGTGATGATGTGAATAATATATGTGGATAAAGTGCTTCTCAAGTAGCCCTTCTCATGATAGTTCTGGGCTTTTGCTGAAGTGGCCTGGACTATATACCTCAGCGTCTCAATCTAGCTTCATATCTACAAAAGGTCATAGACACTAAAGAGTCATAAGAGTAGCCACATCTACAAAACATGATGGCAACCATTGAGTTGGAGATACCAGATCTTTCTGGGAGATATTTCCACCTCAGAACATTAAACATGATAATTAACTGCCTGATCTTTTTAAGCTTTCACATTCTATGTGTACTTGAGCTCTCAAAATCAACATGTATTATTTTGTACAACAAAAACCCTGTCATAACTTGAATGAGACAGCATAACTCTATGAGAAATGACTTATGCCTTTAAAGCATATAATTTAGCTTTAAAAAGTAGATAGAAAAGGTGACATGTAAAGAGTTGGTTCTTCAAACAAGATGGAAACAACATACCAATTACTTCATACAAATGGTTTGGCTCCTTCTATAAATCTCTGTTCTGGATCATCCAGTGTGGTATAGTTTAGATAAAGGCAGGGATCACCAGAAAAAAAGGACTGAGAAAGGATTTTGCTAGTAAGGTAAATCTAAAGTCAAGTATAAGATCTGGACTGCAACAAAATGGCGTCACAAGAAAGGACTTTCCCTTCCCTGCTGGGAGACAGAAGCCACACTTTCTGTAGTTTGTTTCTTAGTTGCTGTTAGTGGGTGATTCTTGTTGGGAACATTAATAGTATAACCAGCATTTAAACTCATCGAAGTGATTTTGACACCTTCTCATGCCAGCCTAACATTTGTTTGCAGTATATACATTTCAGTGTTGAAGCTGGAAACTCTTGCACAGATTTTCCCAGTGAACAAATGTTTTCATTGGATCACAACAAAGTAAATTTGTCACCATTGTATTTGCATTTTCAGTCCTCTAAGCATCTGTTTCCCCAGACTATAATCTCTAATTATCTTTAGCAAAATTCCTTTCACCAATGTCTCCAAATGCTAGAAAATGCAGAATGGCTAAGCAGTATAGATCCATTTGGGTGCCCTCCTATCAACTAATACCAATATTGTGCTTTCAACTTTGCAAGCTTTTTTATGTATATTTCAAGCAGTTACTCCTAGAATTCCATAGAAAAGGCTCTTCTGTTGATCAGTATACAATAAAGAAAAGGTTACACTGTTGAAAAAGTTGTCTTACTGTCTATTAAGCATGATTTTCAGTATCATTGCCATAGTAAGACCGTACAAACCATTTCAATTATTTTGTGTCCTTTGCTCAATAGTTCATTCAGTAATTACTTAGCATATGTAATGTGCTAAGCACTGCTATGTGTTGTAAGCAAACAGCAACAAAGCAAAGAGAGCACTTTCAATCTACTGCAAAGGAGAATTGCCCATGGTTCAGTGATCTAAGACCCAAGTCTTCTAATTTCCAGCCTGTTGTCTTCACTCTGTTGACCAGATCTACACATGTATTAGGTTGAATATTTTATTGTTAACTCTGGACCAATTTGATCTAGAACAGAAGAAAACATGATTCCAGAGTAAAGCAATGACTCTGAAACACGTCTTTAATATAAGTAAAATCATCAAATGCTGTGACAGGAAACATTGCCCAAGACAATTCTGGTTCCCAAGAATTAATTTAACTTTCCCACATGGTTGTATGGCCAAAACCAAACCAAACCAAACAAACGAAACTATACATATATGTATCCTTGCCTTCGGTTTTTTTGTGTTCATTTGTTTTAACTAAAAAAATTGTAGACTGCAAGAATAAAAAGACTTTTGAAGTAAGCAACATAAGATGCAGGAAGTGAGTCAATGATTCTGGAAACATCTTTGTGATCATTTCACTCCAATAATACAGTGGGTGGACACAATGCAAAACTAAATAATGCCACTGTCTTAAATAAAACTAAAGCTCACTTTGATTATTCCTGCCGAATAAATTCATTGGGTTAAAAAAACATTTATTGCTTCAATTATTCCAGCAAATCACACCTGGTTTAGGAACCTAAGTGTACCAGCATAGCTGTTGAGTTATTAATTATGGGTGTCAAGTTTTTTCTGCTAATCAAGCTTAAATGAGCTCTGTGTTATGGAAGCACCATTTACAATGACAAAACTTATCAGTAATACCAAAATAGCTGAGCCCAGTAAAGCCCAGGATTAACATTACCCAATATAATTGAACACCAATGCCTAGTATACTCTGCTATAATATGAAATCTCTTTTCTTTTAAATTGTAAAATTACAAACAACCAAATTAGAATATGTATAAAATTTACATAATAAAATTATTTAGGAAAGTAGTTTGATACAGTATATATGTCCTAATTTCATATTTATTTAAAAGCAATCAAAGTATACCATTTTTAATGAAAACATGATGGGTTTTAAAGATTCAAAATTAAAATCTATTATCCATTTGGTTAGCATGATCAGAAACTAGTCATGCTTGAAACAAAATCTTTATTTCACTTATGTTTGATATTTTTTCCAACCATATTATAAAAATATCCATTAGGAGCACATTCTTCCAAAAGAAGTGACTTTATTAGTCTGCCTGGAGAAGTATGGTGCAATTATTTCTGAAACTGATAGCCAGGAAGCACTTCAGATGTTCAGTCAGCTATTTACTTAAAAACAAATCATGAAGAAATAAATTTTACTGC